ACACACACTCACTCACTCACTCATTTCGCCTTTTCATTTTATTTCCTTACACAATGTCATTGTCATGGTGCAGGACAGTTGCTGTTAAATGATGTAATTAGAAGGCCTTTGTAAAACACTATACTTGTTTTTTACATGAATACATTTTGGGAAATAAGACTGATATGGTTGCACAGTAAATATGAAGCAGCAGCTAGCTAACTTAGCCTAGTACCAAGACTGAAAACGGGAAAACGGCTAGCCTGGACCTTTGCAATGCTACCAAAGTCTGCCTTCCTGCACGGCACTAGAGCTAACCAATTAACACATTACTGTATATTATTATTATATATTATTTTGTTTAATCCATAAGAATTTAAGTGTAAAAATGACATATCTCACCATTTCAAGAGGGCAGATGTGCTGGACTATTTGTTGGCCGGGACTAATGTCCTCCCAAAGTCTCTGTTGGAAGTCCTGACCAAGAGCCAAAGCATACAGTACAAGTGCATTGCTTTGCCTATTTCCTGTGATGACGAATGTGTAAACAACAGTTCGTCAGTTGTGTAGCTAAACACAGATATGAATCTCCTAGCTACTTGGTATTGGCTTGGTAATTGTGATTTTTATTATTAAGACGATCTGTAAAATTACTGCCGTTTTTGGTCAACTCTTATATTTGAACTTTGAACATGGCATTAATACTGTCAGTTGCTGTTGTTGGCTTCCAGATTGCTGAGTTGAAGAGAGGAGCTGAGATCATCGTGTGCACACCGGGAAGAATGATTGACATGTTGGGGGCCAACAGCGGTGAGTTCACAGGCCTTGACCCGCTCACTTCTTTATTCTGATAGGATGTCAAGCATTTATGATGCCTTTTGGTTAATTACCTTGCATGGAATAAATGTTACAGTATGATAAAGTACATAATGAACCAAGTCAGTGACACTTACTAAACTGTCGACATTATTTGAGCACCTTTGGGATCAGTCATATCTACAAGACAGTGATGTGTTTCCTGAAGATCAGGTCAAGTACAGGTAGGTGGATCTGGTGCTGCCTCCGGGGTTCCTCAGACTTCAAGCCAGAGACGGCCAAAATGTTTGAGTGTATGATAACATGGGTATATCAGGATCTGTAATGTGTCATATTAAATTAGAGTAGCTTGAATGCTCAACCAGGGTTCTACACTGTGTTTTTTTTATTGCATTAACTCTCAAATTCAAACGGCCTAGAAGAGATAAAAGGTAAATTTGCATCTTGCTATTCAAAGCACAGATTTCCAGTTATTTTCACAGATGTCACATCGGTTATATCTCATCTGTCAACGTAATTATTTTTAATTTGGAGCTTCTGGAATAAGTATCATTGTAGAGCCCTGTACAGCACTGAGCATTTGCATACAAATGTGAACCAATGCGTGAAATGTGTTTTTAGAAATATTGTTATATTTGCTGACACTTTTTTATTGTGCATTATGTAAATGGTTTATGAGCAGTCATTATACTCTGATAGAAGGGGTTGATTGTTGTTTCCACACATGCGAGGTAATCTGTAATATGTTTCCCTTGTAGGTGAAAAGGCGCTTGGTCAGATAATGCTTGATGGGGCTCCATCTCTTGTATTGTATCTTGAGGCTGTTTTCTGACTTTTACAGGTCCCTCATGCCCCTGAGATGGTACGCAAGACCAGAGTCAACCAAAAACAAACAAACAAAAAAATATATTTTGATAAAAAATAAAATAAAACCCTGGCCACTTGAAACTCAGAAGAATGTGCTGAAGTTAGGATGTCTTGTTTTGTAATGTCAAGTAGTCTTACTCTGAAAAAGGTTCTCTGTGTTTGGTAGTTTAGTGTTTCTTTGAAGAAGACAGAACTGACTTTTCTCAAACTTAACTGTTTTCCTCATGCTCGTCTCCCTTGGTGTGTAGGTCGAGTCACCAACCTGCGCAGAGTTACATATGTGGTGTTGGATGAAGCAGACAGGATGTTTGACATGGGCTTCGAACCACAGGTGGGGGTCACCCAGTTTTATACATCAGCATACATGGTTTCATTAGCATACATAGTCAGTAGTCATGGTGTCACTGTGTTATTTAGTCAGTTTATTCTGTTACCTTTGATTTTATGCTGCCCAGTAAAGCGGAGAATGAGTAGACAAATGCCACTAACCTCCAGCTGTCGTCTGCGTTCTCTACCAGGTGATGCGTATTGTGGACAATGTGCGTCCAGACCGTCAGACGGTCATGTTTTCAGCCACCTTCCCCAGAGCCATGGAGGCGCTGGCTCGTAGGATCCTAGCCAAGCCCATTGAGGTCCAGGTGGGAGGTCGAAGTGTCGTCTGCTCTGATGTGGAACAACATGTGGTAAATCATCTACCTTTCATCTCTGTCTGATGATGATAATGATTTATTTATAAAGCACATTTGGTGTCCAATACCTAGGCAGACTCCAGTGCTATGTTGTCGTATTCTACTTCAGTTTTAGTTAGATTATCTTTTTTTTCTCCAAATTCATATTGGTAAACCAGTCCAAATCAGACCCTCATATCTTGCATTTGTTTGTGTAGCTGGTGATTGAGGAGGACAAGAAGTTCCTGAAGCTGCTGGAGATTCTGGGTCACTACCAGGAGAAAGGCTCAGTCATCATCTTTGTGGACAAGCAGGAGCACGCAGACGGACTGTTAAAAGATCTGATGAAAGCCTCGTACCCATGCATGTCACTGCACGGAGGTGAGAGGATCACATTTGGGATGCACTATTTACATCTTGGTGCTTCTTGGATATTTTTACTGTTTTTCTGACCGTAAACTCTACAGTGATGTCAACGTAAATGTGTTAACAAATATTACTGAGTATTAATATCAGTGTAAAATGAAGAATAACATTTGCAGCTTTCTGCCATGGACATGTCTAGTATTTGGTCTTTCATGTATTCCTTTCCTGTCGTACTCTTAGGAATTGACCAGTACGACAGAGACAGTGTCATCAACGACTTTAAGAATGGAGCATGTCGTCTGATGGTGGCCACCTCTGTGGCAGCCAGAGGCCTGGACGTCAAGCAGCTGATCCTGGTAGTCAACTACAACTGTCCCAACCACTACGAGGACTACGTCCACAGGGCCGGACGCACAGGCCGAGCAGGCAACAAGGTCAGTTACTTAAAACTGAACTTGTGTTGAGTGTGTATTTTTGGTGCTTATTTTTGATTCTGTAAATGGCTTTAATGTCCTATGAAAGTTTATATTTTTTACACATCTCTACATCTTGTTCCTTTTTCCAGGGCTACGCCTACACCTTCATCACTGATGATCAGGTTCGATATGCTGGTGATATCATCAAAGCTTTGGAGTTGTCCGGCTCTCCTGTCCCGCCTGAACTGGAGCAGCTTTGGGCCTCCTTTAGAGACCAACAGAAAGCGGTAAGATGAGAGAAAAGAGGGAAAACTCTTAAGAGTATTTGTGAATCAAAATTGCGTTTATCTTAAAGCTGCACTGAGCCGCATGGAGTGGCAGCGGGAGATAATTGTTTGAATTTCTGAAATTTTAACAAATGGCATTACCAGAAATCTAAGCCATTCCCTGATTTAAGTCAGGGCACAGTATTTCTTTACACTTGCACAATACTAGTTGCCTGACTGTATTTCTCAGCCATCCATCTCTTCCTTTGGGAATTACTAAGAATCAATATCTAAAATGATTAGGGATAAATATATTCAATCTGTGGTGGCTCAATTAGCAAGTAGATCCAATTAGGTAATATAGAAACTGAATATAAATTATTTAACTGCTTTAAAAATGGTTTATGTGAGAATTAATTAAAATTTCCTCTCATTTTCCTTTTCTTTTTTGCCCCCCCCACATCCATGCAGGAGGGTAAGACTATTAAGAGCAGCAGTGGCTTCTCAGGAAAAGGCTTCAAGTTTGACGAGACAGAACATGCCTTGGCCAATGAGAGGAAGAAGCTGCAGAAAGCTGCTCTTGGATTGCAGGACTCTGACGATGAGGACGGAGCCCTGGATGTAAGTAATGTTTTTAAAGTTAATTTGGTTAAACTCTCAACATCAGATTAAAGATTTCTTTACTTTTTAGTATCTTAAGTGTGCTGTCCAATTACAAAATCATACCAAATAACATATTAACCCATCTCAATCATCTTCCCTCCTCAGATTGAGGAGCAAATCGAGAGCATGTTCAACTCCAAGAAGAGGGTAAAGGACCTGTCTGCTCCTGGGGGGGCCACCGGTGCTGCAGGATCAGCTGCCACCACAGCCACTGTCCCCGGAGGGCTGCCAGGTCTTGGACCCACATCTGCTGGAAACATCCAGAAACTGGAGATGGCCAAGAGGCTGGCGCTCAAGATCAACGCTCAGAAGAACCTGGGCGCAGAGGCTCAGGTACGTCAAATAGAGATGAAATATGTCAGGTTTGTCTCTTTTCACTGCAATGTGTGGGATGCCAGAAGAAAAGAGGAATTTTTCATCTCTAATTATTACATCTATGAAGCATCACAAAATGTACTTATTGATTGTGACTTCAAATTCACAAATTTATAAGCCAGGGTGGTGATTTGTATTTTAAAACAAAAATCTGATGTGCTGTATTCACTTCTAGACATGAGCCAAAATAAAAGCATTTAATTAATTGAATCGTGGATTCTGGTTTTAATAATAAAAGTTTTAATAAGAACATTTTAACTTTATTTTGAACTATTTTGCAATTACTGTATTTTTCATCTTGGTATATAGTTCAACTGAGTCTGACCACTGCCTTCAGGTTGTTGGTCCAGTCAACCATAAACTTAATTAAAAGAGACCTTAAAGGACCAGTGTGTAGGATTTTTGTGCCATTTAGCAGTATAGTTACAGAACTGTCTCACTTCACCCTCCCAGGTTGCCAGAAACCATGCAAAAAATGCAAACAGCCCTATCTAGAACCAGTGTTTAGTTTGTCTTTTCTGGGCTACCATAGAAACATGGCGATTCAACATGATGACCTCCATGGAAAGTGACATTCACTATAGTTACTTTTTAAGTGTTTTTGTGTTCTCTGGTCAGTTTGTGTTTCATGTGTAAAGTCAAACTGGTTTTCTCTTCATGTACAGGACGTGATGCAGCAGGCCACCAACGCGATCCTGCGTGGCGGCACCATCATGACACCCTCGGTTTCAGCCAAGACCATCGCGGAACAGCTGGCGGAGAAGATCAATGCCAAGCTGAACTACACCCCTGTGGAGAAGCTGGAGGAGGAGCGGCAGGCAGCTGAACAGGCAGAGACCATCAAG